CACATATCTCGTTCTCAGGGCACACCGGATAAGCTAAGCGTACGGGGCCCAACATAACCCAAGTTGCCAAGGGACGGCCCCGCACGGTGCTCTGGGTTGGACCAACACTTAGACAAGCACTGGCCCGGAGGTTTAAAAAATAAAGATGACCCTCGGGATGCGCGACTCCCAAGGGAAAAAGGCTAGGTGGCGAATGGTAAAACCAAGGTTGGGCCTTACTGGAGGAGTTTTATTCAAAGAGAACTGTCAAGGGGTTCCCATTATAACCCAACCGCGTAAGGAACGCAAAATCCAGGAACATAACACCGATATGACGGAAACTAGGGTGGCAAGAGTGGAACAAAACACCAGGCATAAGGCCGAGCCTTCCACCCTTTACCAAGTATATAGATGCATTAATTAAATAAGAGATATGGTGATATCCCAACAAAATATCCATGTTCCAAAAAGGAACAAACTTCAATCTTCACCTGCAACTAACAACGCTATAAGAGGGGCTGAGCAAAGCGGTAACATAGCCAAACAACGGTTCGCTAGGACAAGGTGGGTTAGAGGTTTGGCTTAGCAACATGGGAGGCATGATAAGCAAGTGGTAGGTATCGCAGCATGGGCATAGCAAAAGAGCGAGCAACTAGCATGCAAAGATAGAAGTGATTTCGAGGGTATGGTCATCTTGCCTGAAATCCCGCAAGGAAAAAGAACGAGTCCATGAAAAAGACAAACGGGCGTAGTCGAATGGGTCCTCACAAACGCGACGTTACCGGATTACCAAGAAGTACACTAGAAAGAAAGCAAACAACATAGTAAACAACCACTACAACAACATGGCATGATGCACAACAAGTATGATGCATGTCCGGTTTATATGCAACTCCGTTGCATATTGACGAAACACCACGTGACTTATTTAGTTTGATCTTGTTTATGTACCTAACAATATTAAATGTTGTTAAACATGGCAAGAGGGTGAAGCAAAGTAAACTACCTATCTAGTCAAGTTTAAATGAGGCCGGAAGCAACGAACAACAATTCCGGAAACTCCTCATGAGCATATTATAGATTTTGGTACTGTTCTGCCCTAAACATTATTTTAGAGTTGTTAAACATGCAAGATGAGTGCACCATGTTAAACTAGGCATTTTTCTACCCCATTTACATATGAAGATTATTTAATTCGGAGCTATGGTTATTTAGTTATGAAATAAAGCATTTTAGCAAGTTATTTAAACAAATTTAAACAAACAGCATTTTAAACATTTTAAACATGGATGAAAGTTGGATATTATGAAACTAGATAAAATTCTAGTCAAGTTACGTATATAAATTATTTAGATCTGATGCACGGTTGAGAAGTTATTAAATGCATGAAGCTTAGGGGGTTTCCTGCAAAACTGCAGTCTCCGGATAATTAGCAAAATCGCAGAACAGGAAAAAAAACCTATCGGGCCGAATCTGGGCAGCCCAACAGCAGGGGAAAAAAGAGGGGCGTCGGCGGGGTGGCCTCACCATGGGCTCGGCCCGGTCAGTGAGGGAGGTTGGCGGCGGCCTAGTGAGCAGGCCGGCTTAGGCGCGTTGGGCCGGCGCGAGGCCCATCTAGCGCACGCCAGGGAGCGGTACAGCGCTGCCCATCTTCGGTCAATAACCAATAGCGGAACATGTATGCTCATATTGGCTCCTACATATTCTACGAAGATCTTTATCGGTCAAACCGCATAAGAACATACATTGTTCCCTTTGTCATCGGTATGTTACTTGCCCGAGATTCGATCGTCGGTATCATCATACCTAGTTCAATCTCGTTATCGGCAAGTCTCTTTACTCGTACCATAATGCATCATCCCGTGACTACTCATTAGTCACATTACTTGCAAGGCTTATAGTGATGTGCATTACCGAGAGGGCCAGAGATACTTCTCCAATACACGGAATGACAAATCCTAATCTCGATCTATGCCAACCCAACAAACACCTTCGGAGACATCTGTAGAGCATCTTTATAATCATCCAGTTACGTTGTGAGGTTTGATAGCACACAAGGTGTTCCTCCGGTATTCAGGAGTTGCATAATCTCATAGTCAGAGGAACATGTATAAGTCATGATGAAAACAATATCAATAAACCTAAACGATCATTATGCTAAGCTAACGGATGGGTCTTGTACATCACATCATTCTCTAATGATGTGATCACGTTCATCAAATGACAACACATGTCTATGGTCAGGAAACATAACCATCTTTGATTAACGAGCTAGTCAAGTAGAGGCATACTGGGGACACTCTGTTTTGTCTATGTATTCACACATGTACTAAGTTTTCGGTTAGTACAATTCTAGCATGAATAATAAACATTTATCATGATATAAGGAAATATAAATAACAACTTTATTATTGCCTCTAGGGCATATTTCCTTCACATACATGATTCCGTCGAGAAGGAGACGGTGGACATGGAGTTCATCAGGACCAGCGAGCAGAAGGCGAACATCCTAACCGAGGCCCTTGGTCGTGTTTGTTTCCGGGAGTTGCGCGACAAGGTGGGAATCATCAAAATCAAGCCCCTTTTTCGACAAGGTTGAGTGGGAGATTGTTGAGCAAAACATGTCTTCAAAAAAGGCAGGTCGATAGCTGCGGCGGGTGCATGCCTTGCTTGTCGAGGTACTAGTAAAAAGGAAACCTACTATTGTAAGTAGACAGGTTTTACTCACCATGTTTTGTTCGTTTTTCTTTTTATCTCCTTTTTTCATTTATGTTTTTTCTTTTTTTACTTTCTATTATTTTTTTACTTTAGTTTTTAGGGGTTTAAAAAATATTTTTTTTAAGTTCATATGTGACAAAAAATTAGTTTTAAAAACGTACAAGTTTTGAAAATGTTCAGATTTTTTTTTGAAATATATTCTTTTTAAGCTAGACATAGGGACGCGGGACGCCCTCCACCGCTGAAGGCGACATGTAGGAGCACCTGGGCCACGGCCTTCTTGCAATGCTCGGCCGGGCCGAGCCAATCTCTCCGCTTCTTCTGTAACTGGCTAACTGCGACCAGAAGAAATTCCCCATCGCAAGACCTAACTATTTTCCTCACTCCTCAGTGGATCCATATCGATCGAGTTCGCGGCCGCTGCTCGTCGCGTCAATTGCTTCCGGATCGAGCGCGTTCGCCTCCGGACCACGCGCCAATTGCTTCCAGCTCGAGCTCCCCTCCTAGCCTGGGCGCGGACGCGCCGAGCTGCTGTTTCCCTTCACGCCGTAATCGTTCTCTCTCTCTCTCTCTCTCTCTCTCTCTCTCTCTCTCTCTCTCTAGCAATTTAATTGTGCTCTGTGTATTTCTCCTGACTGTCAATTTTAGGCGGTCACTGGGCACTGAAGACGGTTTGTTTTCCTCTTTTAAGAGAGCTGTACCTTTTTATTTTGATTTGAGATCGATTCAGTATTTTAGTGTTCCAATCCCCCTCGCTTGCATTGCGTCGGTGGTGTCGATAAGGAGAGTAGCTGGACGCTACTGCCGGCACCCTGGCCAGTGCTTTGGAATAACATTCAGATGATTAATAGAGTACTAGTAATAAGTAGAGTATGCCTTTTGTGTTTCTGCGTAATTGTAGGTCTTATCCCCCGCTCGGGCGCTCGGGCGGGATCTCGATCCCTAGCCGCCGCCGGTCCCCTCCCCTCCCTTCCTCCCCTCCCTCCGCCGCCGCCGAAGGACGCCGCCGGCGATGGCCCGGGGCTGACGGCGGTGGCGGGGGTCCTCCCTCTTGCCTGCGCCGTGGGGGTGGTGCGGCGCCCCGCGGCATGGGTGGCGCGGCGGCTGCCTCGGCCAAGGGCCGATCTGGCCTGGCGGCGCGGCGGGCCTGCCTTCCGGCGGCGGCGCGGCGGCTGCCTTGGCCAGGGGCGGCGATGGTGGGGTGCGGCAGCCGGTTCTGCCTCGGGCTGCGTGGCGGCGTTCGGCGGCGGCGGCCGGGTCTGCGGCGACACACCACCTGACCTCGGATCGGCGGTGGCGGCATGGAGGGCCTGGTGGTTGGGTCGGCACCATGCGGGTCGTGCCCTCCGGACAAATCTGATCTGGCCGGTGCGGCCTGCTCGTTGTGCGGCGGCTTAGATCGGCGGCGACCCGTGCACACATTACGTGATGGAGGTTCTTCGAGCGGATCCGGGTGAAAACCTTGTGCTCGGCTTCATGCCATGGCCGGCGTTGGCGACACCCTGTTGTGTCATTACCTTCTTGAAGGCATCGCCGTGGAGAAGCTCTAGACCTCTATCCGCTACATCCGGGGGAAACCCTAGATCAGTTGATCGGATGACGGCGGCGCGTTGGTGTCGTTTCCTCCTTGGGGGCGTCATTCTTGGAGGCGTACACGGGATCGAGGGACCAGCGGGCGCCTTTTTGGTGGAGCGGTGCTTCATCCTTCACATTGATGACGGCGGATCTCGGCGGCGTGGTGCGGTGGAGACTCGGCGCCCGATGTGCGGTGATGGACTCGCGCAGGTGGAGGTAGTTGTCTGGCGTCAAGGTGGCGTCGATGACGGAGTGACCTCACAAGGTAGAAACCTCAATATCTGCTTTGAAGACGGACATGTGGAAGATGGCGGCGACGACACATGTGAGTGCGTCAGACCAGTTTATGCCCCAGACCCAGTATGTGGCTCGGATGGGGCTTCTGGCTTTGGATGATAGGATTAGGTGAGTAGTCTGGGTATGTGGCCCAGGTAGCACCCCTGCATCATTTGGATAGGAGTAGTGGCATATGTTGTCAAGATGGCGGATTCAGGCATATTGTTGTAATACTTTGTAAGGTCCTCGAGAATAATCAATAAAGTGGCCGTATGCATCTCCCAGATGCAGAGGCTGGGGGTCATCCTCCTTTTCTAAAAAAAAGACAACGAAATAGACCAACTGTTGTAAGTAGGAGCACCACCTCTAAACTATCGCAATGCCCATGGAGGCGGTTTTTCCTCTTGGGCGCTAAAGCTCGCCGTTTCTTTCTTTTCAGTTGACAGAGCACGATGCCGGACAGGAGCGGCGCGACCCTGTTTGAGGACCTGCCTGCGGAGATGATCGACAAGATACTCACTCAGTTGCCGTCCAAGGATCTCGGCCGCTGTCGTGCCGTCAGCACGTCGTTGCACAGTGCCACCTCCACGTCTGAATTCATGCTCGAACACCACCGCTGCCAGCCGTCACGTCCCATCATCGACGGAAGACCACGGCCCAGCGGCCTTGTCGTCTTCCGTGACGCTGGCGCCCCTCAACAGCTCTGGACCTTCGTCTGGGACCCCGAAATCTCTTCGAAGGAACTCCTCCATGGTGCCTGTGATGGCTTCCTCATCGTCTCCCGAGGACTCCGATTTTACATCTGCAACCCAGCCATCAGCAAGCATGCTCCCCTACCGCTTCCTCAGGTTGGACCAGAGAACTACAACTCTGTGATCGGTTTCTACCGGCACGATCCCACTGGAGAGTACAGGGTGCTCTGGGTCTCGCACTCACAGCCAGGGTCACAATCTAAACCCAGTTTATACATCATTACAGTGGGATCCAACAAGCCAAGGCAGGTCAGAGTGAGAATGCCAGCAGTTTTGCCACCTTCCGCGGAACAGAAATTACTAAATGATCTGCGCTCTTGGTCCTATTATGCACCATCAGTCCACCATTGTGGCGGCCTGCACTGGTGTCCTTATGGCGCCAGCGACATTTGGGCCTGCGGTGCAGACATTATTGTGTTTGACACACAAGCCGAGACATTCCGGTGCATCCGCAGTCCCGCCCAGTCGTGCCCTAATAGGAAGTTGTTCCACATGGAGGGGACCCTTGCTTTATGGGGCGCCAGCTCGACACGTAGTTTTACCATTATGGATGTCTGGGTGATGCAGGATTACAAGGCTCAAATATGGGCTTTCAAGTACCGGATTGACCTATCAATGGTGGAGGCATCACGGCGGCTCTATTTAACTACTTTGAAAAAGAAAAAGATAAGGCAAACACCACTTGATTCAACGGTTGAAGAGTTCAATGATATGACTGTGCTCAACGAGCGTGAGCTGCTGATCAAGTTTAATAAGAAACATGTGCTACACTGGGACATTGATGGCAAGTTCCTAGGTATTGTGAACATTGGAAAGAGTCAATATTGTATGGCGCTTACTCAGTGCCGCCTCCAAGAGAGCGTTATTCCAATTCCGTCCCACGGGATGCAAGGAGAAGATGAGGAACCTCCATTCTCCACAGAGCATGTCTGAATGTTCAAGACTCTTGTTTGCTTTGCCCTTTGGATTCAGAGGGTGTCTTCTGTTTCTGCTAGTACTACCAGTAGAATATGTCAGTTTGGATGGTCGCCATAGCTCTTACTTATAATGATGCGTTGAACGTCTTGTTAATGTTCTGAAATATGGGGTATTGATCTATGATATTAAAACTTTATTATTGTTCCTCTCCACCTCTCAAATTTACTCTATTTTTGGGATGGTTCAGATGCACTCTCTTGGGCCATGCTCTTTGAGCGAAGAAATTTTTAGCTGTTGAAATGTTATTCTGTGTCTCTTCCATTGGCTGTTGAGAAGAGATCATTGTTCCAATTCTTTGTCATGAGATTCAAGAAGAAGACGAGGGAGTCTTCCTTCTCGACATGGTATGTCTGAATGGTCAAGACTCTTGGTCCGGCATGCCTTTGGATTGACAACATATCTTTTGTTCTCAGCTCTTCTTACTTATTAGTACTACCACATGAACATTTTATTTTGGATGGTTACGCTCACACTTGGAATCTCATCATTTGGTGCTTGCTTATTATCATGTATTGGTCATCTTGTTAATGTTCTGAACTGTGGAGTACCAATCTATGACATTAGAACTTTGTTAATGTTCCTCCTCGCCTCCGAAAGTTCACTTTAATTTCAGCATGCTTACGATGCACGAATGGTCTTCAAGCAAAGGCATTTCAAATTTTTGAAATGTTATTCTGGTGTCTTTCATAGGCTGTTTCTTCAGTCTCTGCTTCCTGGTGTGTAATTTGGTCGTAACTTGTAAGTTTCACTAGGCGGCACCTACTCTTTGTGTGAAACATACTGCGTCGGGTATACTTTTTGTGGCTGCTTGTAGTGGGTTTTAGGTATTTTGGTTATAAACGAGTTGAACTATGTGCTCTCCTGGAGCAAGGTAAATTTGACTTTCAGCTCCCATTGTTAAGAAGCAAGAATGTACTCTAACTGTTCTGATGAGAGATAGAACTTTGTTAATGTTCCTCCTCGCCTCCGAAAGTTCACTTTAATTTCAGCATGCTTACGATGCACGAATGGTCTTCAAGCAAAGGCATTTCAAATTTTTGAAATGTTATTCTGGTGTCTTCCATAGGCTGTTTCTTCGGTCTCTGCTTCCTGGTGTGTAATTTGGTCGTAACTTGTAAGTTTCACTAGGCGGCACCTACTCTTTGTGTGAAACATACTGCGTCGGGTATACTTTTTGTGGCTGCTTGTAGTGGGTTTTAGGTATTTTGGTTATAAACGAGTTGAACTATGTGCTCTCCTGGAGCAAGGTAAATTTGACTTTCAGCTCCCATTGTTAAGAAGCAAGAATGTACTCTAACTGTTCTGATGAGAGATAGAACTTTGATAATGTTCCTCCTCGCCTCCGAAAGTTCACTTTAATTTCAGCATGCTTACGATGCACGAATGGTCTTCAAGCAAAGGCATTTCAAATTTTTGAAATGTTATTCTGGTGTCTTCCATAGGTTGTTTCTTCGGTCTCTGCTTCCTGGTGTGTAATTTGGTCGTAACTTGTCAGTTTCACTAGGCGGCACCTACTCTTTGTGTGAAACATACTGTGTCGGGTATACTTTTTGTGGCTGCTTGTAGTGGGTTTTAGGTATTTTGGTTATAAACGAGTTGAACTATGTGCTCTCCTGGAGCAAGGTAAATTTGACTTTCAACTCCCATTGTTAAGAAGCAAGAATGTACTCTAACTGTTCTGATGAGAGATAGAACTTTGTTAATGTTCCTCCTCGCCTCCGAAAGTTCACTTTAATTTCAGCATGCTTACGATGCATGAATGGTCTTCAAGCAAAGGCATTCAAATTTTTGAAATGTTATTCTGGTGTCTTCCATAGGCTGTTTCTTCGGTCTATGCTTCCTGGTGTGTAATTTGGTCGTAACTTGTAAGTTTCACTAGGCGGCACCTACTCTTTGTGTGAAACATACTGCGTCGGGTATACTTTTTGTGGCTGTTTGTAGTGGGTTTTAGGTATTTTGGTTATAAACGAGTTGAACTATGTGCTCTCCTGGAGCAAGGTAAATTTGACTTTCAGCTCCCATTGTTAAGAAGCAAGAATGTACTCTAACTGTTCTGATGAGAGATTCGTTCTTGCTTGTGTTATTTTTTGAGTGAATGCCAGAGTGTCTGACAGTGACATAGTCTGGCATTTCATTAGATGTTAGTTATTGTGTTTCTAGTTCTTAAAATTGCCTGTTTGCTCCTGCTTCATGCACAAGAGAAGCGTGGCGCAGATGTCGTCGACGTGCACTAGCGGCACCGATCCCAGGATCCTCGGCAGCGAGAAGTAGGGATCTTTCTTGGTCACCGGCGCCACTGCGCTCTCCACTGTCTCTCAGACCTGGCCGAGGACCGTGTCACCCGCGACGAGGCTGCAGGGCAGCGTGACCACCTCGAACGCAGGGCTCTCGCCGTCGTTGTAGCGCAGAAGCTCCTTCTCTGACAGGAGATTTGCCTCTATGTGCCTCTGCAGATGGTCCACTCAACACTGTCACTCTGATGATGTGTTGTCATGCAGGGTGAGCACCAAGATTGCCATTTTGCATTTGAGGTTCAGAATTCAGGCCCGGCCTCTGGCCTTTTACTTGGTGTTGTAAAACTTGGGGCCTGCCCCGCTGGTTATATCTATAAAGATTCAGGTGGGGAAGTTCTTTGTGAGACCATCCTAACAGCAACACAGGTATTTCCTGTGCACTTTATCTTCACTTTTGCGCACACATGAACAACTTCACGGTTGGTCATCCTCAAATTACCTCAGGGTAAGCACGCTTATTATGGAAATTCTTTGGAGATGAGCTTCCAGGAAAGAAAAATTGTGCATTTTGTTTATACAAGTAGTCTATCATTCCTATTAAGCAATGATATTACAATACCCCCCCCCCC